CTTAGGAACAAACACTGTTCATTTATTTCGATAGATATTCAAAACTGAACATGATTCAGCAACATTATGCTATCACTTAAAAATATACTATCATTTAAAAATAAGAACAGAATAGGGAAACCTAGGTGGCTCAGTCGGTTAAGCGTCCAACTCTTGATAGCAGCTCAGGTTGTGATCTTACTTCTGTGAGATCAAGCCCTATGTTGGGCTCTGTGGTAAGCAGAGCCTGCTTGGGATTCTCTCCCTCTCTCTCTCTTTTTTATTTTTATTTATTTATTTTTTTAAAACGTTTATTTTATTTTTTTGAGACAGAGAGAGACAGAGCATGAACGGGGGAGGGTCAGAGCGAGGGAGACACAGAATCTGAAACAGGCTCCAGGCTCTGAGCTGTCAGCACAGAGCCCGATGTGGGGCTCAAACTCACGGACCGTGAGATCATGACCTGAGCTGAAGTCAGCCGCTTAACCGACTGCGCCACCCAGGCGCCCCATCTCTCTTTCTTTTTTAAAAAAGGTTTTTAAGTATGTATGTATGTATGTATGTATGTATTTATAGTGTATTCATTTTGAGAGAGAGAGAGAAAGCACACACACAAAAGCCAGGGAGAGAGAAAGAGAAAATCCCAGGCAGGCTCTGAGCTGTCAGTGCAGAGCCCAACACAGGGCTTGATCCCACAAACAGTGAGATCATAACTTGAGTGGAAATCAAGAGTCAGATGCTCAACCAACTGAGCCACCCAGGTGCCCCTCCCTCTCTCTCTCTGACTCTCCCCTGTTTTCTCTCTCAAAATAAATAAATAGACTTTAAAAATAAAAATAAGAACAGGGGCACATGGGTGGCTCAGTTGGTTAAGCATCCAACTCTTGGTTTTGGCTCAGGGCATGATCTCAGGCTTTTGTGGGTTCAAGCCCTGTGTTGGGCTCTGCACTGACAGCCTGCTTGGGATTCTCTCTCTCTTCCTCCCTCTCTGCCCCTCCCCCACTTGTGCTGTCTCTGCCTCTCTCAAAACAAATAAATACATTTTTGAAAAAATAAAAATAGGGGCGCCTGGGTGGCTCGGTCGGTTAAGCGTCCGACTTCGGCTCAGGTCACGATCTCACGGTCCGTGAGTTCGAGCCCCGTGTCGGGCTCTGTGCTGACAGCTCAGAGCCTGGAGCCTGTTTCAGATTCTGTGTCTCCCTCTCTCTCTGCCCCTCCCCTGTTCATGCTCTGTATCTCTCTGTCTCAAAAATAAATAAACGTCAAAAAAAAAATTGGAAAAAGAAAAAGAAAATAAGAACAGAATCAAATGCACAAATAAAACCTACAGGAAACTCCTATAGGAAATTCCCATTCTCAACACCAATCAAACTTGGGAGTGTTTTTTTCTGCTCTCAGGAGTTCAGATGAATCACATTGCAATTTAAAGGTTATTGTGACTTTATAAACTCCTGCTCAAAACTTAATATAATCATTATTATATCTAGTTACCATATAAGGTAACTTCTAAGATCTAAGGATATCGGACCCTCCTAGGTTAATTTGAAGCAGAAGAGTGCAATTGTTATACAAAGTCAATTGGATGTAGTCCTTCCTTGAAATCCATTCTCTGTGTTTTTGTTATTTTTTTTTTTTTTTATGCCACCATTTTGGCACTTAATGCGTGCTGTAGGTATCTTCTATTTTTCTTCATTCCTTAATTTTCTCTGTATCCCTTAAATTGGTTACTTATTTGACGGCAGCCTCTTTGTTCATTATACAAACATGTCTTTGCTTTGAACATGACTGATATGATAGATACTTTAGTTTCTCATCAAACATGGTTTTGCCGTGCATAACATTTTCTTTGGCCTACTGCAGCAATTTCCCATATTTATTAGGTCACTACTCTGGTATTTGGGCACGCAATCATGTTAACTCCCATTTTCTTTTGTAACCCAATTCCTTCCATTTACATAGGTTACTTTAACAATAAATTTTAGGGGCGCCTGGGTGGCGCAGTCGGTTAAGTGTCCGACTTCAACCAGGTCACGATCTCGCGGTCCGTGAGTTCGAGCCCTGCGTCGGGCTCTGGGCTGATGGCTCAGAGCCTGGAGCCTGTTTCCGATTCTGTGTCTCCCTCTCTCTGCCCCTCCCCCGTTCATGCTCTGTCTCTCTCTGTCCCAAAAATAAATAAACGTTGAAAAAAAAAATTTTTTTTAAAAAAAACAATAAATTTTATAATATCTCTGCTTGCAAATTTTACCAAAAAAAAAAAAAATTACCTGTAAACATTGCTACCTTTCCCAGTTTTTCAGTCATTCCACAATTTAATGACTTAAAGGAAAGAACGTTGGAAAGGCTAAGAGAAAAGCAACTACAATGATTAGATGGTATTCATAAACTTCTTCAATTTAAAGGTGCTGTGATTATTTAGACAGAAAGAAAAGAAAATCAAATAAAAACCTAATAGTTATATAGTCTCATGAAACTTTGATGTTCAGAGGCTAATCACTATATGATTTTTCCTGCCCTAGGAGGAGGATAGAAAGTGGGCTTTGGATATAACATAAAGACTTTGGGTTAGACAGTTTTTCTATAGTGAGAACACAGGAATGAGTTGCCCAGAAAATAATGATTTAAACAAAAAATTTTTTTTAACGTTTATTTATTTTTGAGACAGAGAGAGACAAAGCATGAACAGGGGAGGGGCAGAGAGAGAGGGAGAGACAGAATCGGAAACAGGCTCTGGGCTCTGAGCTGTCAGCACAGAACCTGACGCGGGGCTCGAACACACGGACCGTGAGATCATGACCTGAGCCGAAGTCGGACGCTTAACCGACCGAGCCACCCAGGCGCCCCGATTTTTAAAGATATAATGGACACTCGTTCATCTGGATTTGTTTAGGTGTGGTCCTGGCTAAAGAGAAAGAGAAGGATCAGATAACTTCATGCTTTTTCTGTTTAATATACCCACCAGATTCTTGATTAGGAGAAAGGAAAATGAGCAAGATACAGCCCAGTATCCTAACAACAATCAGCCTTAGGGAATCATTTTGAAAGCATCTGATTTGCTTTAGTACTTAAGTCTTTAGTACTTGACCAAACTGATTGCATAATGAAAATTTCTAGTGCCTGGGTCTTATAGGGTAGAAGAAGGAAATGGCGTCAAGTGGCCAACTCTTCATGTTAAGGTCAATGAGATTCTCCTTGCTGTAGTTCTGTTTTGACTGTTCTGGACAATATCAAATTAGTTTCAGTGGCTTGATTCTAGGCCAAGATTCTGGCAACAGATCGTAGTCGCACTGTTTTCAATCTCACTGGATTTTTCTCTCTCTCATATTTTTCTTTCCCTTAGGCTGAGGGTAAAAAGCTGGGATTGGTTGGCTGGGTCCAGAACACTGACCAGGGCACAGTGCAAGGACAATTGCAAGGTCCCATCTCTGAAGTGCGTCATATGCAGGAATGGCTTGAGACAAGAGGAAGTCCCAAATCGCATATCGATAGAGCAAACTTCAGGAATGAGAAAGTCATCGTAAAGTTGGATTACTCAGATTTCCAGATTGTGAAATAATGGCCCGAATTTAAATTTTCTAAGATAAACTCACTGGTTTTGTTTTTATTGGTAATATAGAACTATTCTGTGTTCAGTATTAGAATTTGTCAGTAAGTTATGTTAGTATCAGATATTTGAATATCACTGTATATGTATGATAGAAGGATGACAACTAACTATTCATAATTCTAATAAATAAAAACACGTTAGAACCTTCTGTGTAGGGTACTTTCTTTGGTGAACTTCATTTTGGGCAAAATAAGAGGTATTTACTCAGCAAACATCTATGCGAAGAGAATTTTGAGGTAATTTAAAGAGAGCTGAAAGAAAAAGAAGTTATTTGAATCATTTTAAAAAATTGTTTTCATGAAGTTTTCTTCAGGAAATTGTACACCTATTAAGGTTAGCTGTTTAAATGGCATTTTGGACTGATTACTTTTACTTTTCTGGAGTTCCCGCTGTCAGTCCTCTCCTCTGGGCAAGGATTTCATATAAAGCAATGTTATGGGATAAATTACGTCACCCTATCCCAAATTCATATGTTTAAGTCCTAACCTCAAACTGTGACTATCTGGAGATAGAGTCTTTCAAGAGGTACTCAAGGTTAAATGAGGACATTAGAGTAAGCCCCAATCCAATATGCCCCAGTGTCCTTAAAAAAAAAAGGAAATTGGACACAGACATGTACGTGCACTGAGGAAAGAACATGTGACGACAGAGGGAGAAGAGAGGTCTCAGAAGAAATCAACCTGTCAACACCTTGATCTCAGCCTTCTGGCCTCCAGAACTGAGACAAAATAAACTTCTATTGTTTAAGCCCCTCGATGTGTGGCATTTTGTTATGGCAGCCCTACAAGCAATACTCAGGATTTTGCCTCATCATCCAGCCCTTCACATGTGTCGATTAGTCTCGGTCCGTCATTTAACCGGTGGATCGCAAATGCCTACTGAGTTTAACATGTTTGTCATAAATTACAATTTTTGGAAATACTAGATTGCTCTGAAAACGAGACAGCCAAAACTGAGGATTGGTTAGTCATTCCCCAAATATCGGGATCCCTGGGTGGCTCAGTAGGTTGAGTGTCAGACTTAGGCTCAAGGTCATGATCTTGCAGTTCACAGGTTCGAGCCTGCCATCGGGCTTGCTGCTGTTGGCCCATAGCCTGCTTTGGATCTTCTGTCCCCCTCTCTCTGCCCCTGCCCCGCTTGTGCTGGCTCGCTCTCTCTCAAAACTAAATCACCATTAAAAAAAAATAATTCCCGGGGCGCCTGGGTGGCGCAGTCGGTTAAGCGTCCGACTTCAGCCAGGTCACGATCTCGCGGTCCCTGAGTTCGAGCCCCGCGTCGGGCTCTGGGCTGATGGCTCAGAGCCTGGACCCTGTTTCTGATTCTGTGTCTCCCTCTCTCTCTGCCCCTCCCCCGTTCATGCTCTGTCTCTCTCTGTCCCAAAAAAATAAATAAACGTTAAAAAAAAAAAAAATAATTCCCCAAACATCTATTCCCACAGGGTTCTTAACGTTCTTATTCAGTTTGAAAATAAGCTGCAGTGGCATTAGGAACACAACGAAAAAGTCAATGAAAGGAGTCTCGGGGTCCTCATCCGTACATTAAGAGGGTGGAGCTAGTTTCTCTGTTTTCCAGCTCTGAAATGCTGTAATTCTGTAAGACGGAAGGGTGTGGATTTATTCACCCATCGAGTGCCTCACCGTCCAGGCACTGTTTTTGGCCAGCGGGATACAGCAGTAAACAGAATAGATAAAATCCCTGCCTTCAAAGAGTTTGCATTATAGTGAGAGAAGACATAAACACAAATAAAATATAATTGAATTAAATGGTAGTAGGTGCAAAGGAGGAAAGGGGGGAAGGAAAACGACAGAAACAGAGAAAACTGCTTGAAACGGCTTTTCACACCATGCGAAAGGGGGATAAGGATTGAGAACTAGGGGTACCAGTGTGAAGAGACCCCGCCTAGTCTCCCAGTCAGACAACAGCTGGTACGCACGCGCATTTGGGTGTCACCGACGAAAGCGCGTTCCCAGAAGCGCAAGCGCGTTCCCAGAAGCGCATGCTCGTGGCGCGTGCGCGAGCCTCGCGAGCGAACGTGCGCGTGCCCGGCGTCCGAGGCGGTGGGTAACTGGGAGTTGGTGAAGCGCGGTTCGAGGTGACTTGGGGGAAAAGCACACGTCGAAAGGATGATTCCGGGAGCCCTTCTAATAGCGGAAAGGCCGTGGCGACCGCCGCGAGCGTTTCTCGGACCCGGCTGTGCAGGGGCTCCGGGAGGCCTCTTGCGTCGGGCGGCAGGGGTTCGGCCTGCGAGTTGGGGGAGGGGACGGGGTGGAGCCTGAGCCTGGGGGGCCCGCGGCGGCTGTCCTGTCCCCCGGCCCCCGACCCGGAGCTCTCGCAGCTCGAGATCCGGGACGAATCATCCCCTTTGACTGTGGCCCTGAAAAGACTGGGTTGTAAAAGGAAATCGTGAAGTTGAGTAGTCTCAGAATACCTCTCATTTGCTGCCGGCTGCAAAGTTCCTTATATAAAAAAACAGATCTGCGATTATAACTGTGATGTCCGGGCTTGAAGAACTAGCCCTACCACCTTCGAGAGGTCCAGCCCATGCTGCTCTCTCCCCTATGAAGGGAGACCTTTAATGGCACTATAATCTTCATATTTTTTACCTGAAGGGAAAACTTAAAATCAAGTTCAGATAGCCCCTGACCATCACTATTATTGTGAAGGTAGTTTGTAGCCGCCATCTGTAAATACCCAAAAAGTGGTAATACAGGGACCTTCTGAAAACTTTTGTGAAAGTAATATGTGGACAAGATCTAAAAATTAAATGATACAGAAAAGTTCATAATGAAAATTCCTGCCTTATCGTTTTGCATTCCCGGTCTTTTTCCCCGGAGACAACATTTAACCAAGAATAATAATCTCTTGACCCCCATCTCTTCTTGATACAAAGATTTGATTTTTTAAATTTCTTCTGTCTTAACCGTTCATTACAAGTTTTTACTAAAAGTCATGGTTATTGTGTAATGTATAAATATTATGAAACTAGCTTGGACATTTTTTTTCATGAATTTCTAGCTGAATTTAATTTAGACATCTGTTTTTGGTGAAGTGATTAGAATTGTGAACACTGTCTTATGGGTCAACTTCAAGCGTGATTATGATTTCACTTTAGGGCATGTGGGATTTAGAAAGGAGCAGTGAAAATTATGAAATTGCGAATGCTGCTTTGGATATTAAATCCATTGCACTAAACATGAGCTGTGTGATCTGTGTAGAGATCAAAGCTATAATTTGTTTTGTTTTTTACAGTGTGGTTTAATAAGAGATTTAATTTACCTCAAATGGCATTTCTCCATTATGCTTGAGAGCAATGGATAATGCTCCGTAGCTCTGAGGGTTTGATTGTGTGTGTGTGTTTTCCTCCTTAGGCAATTATTTCCGGTCAGAGAAGGAAGCCAGTGCCTGGCCTTCTTAACCAGCTTTCTACCTGCCATGATCAAGTGCTTGTCAGTTGAAGTACAAGCCAGATTGCGTTCTGGTTTGGCTATATGCTCCTTAGGCCAGTGTGTTGAGGAACTTGCCCTCAATAGCATTGATGCTGAAGCAAAATGTGTGGCTGTCAGGGTGAATATGGAGACTTTCCAAGTTCAAGTGATAGACAATGGATTTGGGATGGGGAGGGATGATATAGACAAGGTGGGAAATCGTTATTTCACTAGTAAATGCAACTCGCTACAGGACTTGGAGAATCCCAGGTTTTATGGTTTCCGAGGGGAGGCCTTGGCAAGTATAGCTGACATGGCCAGTGCTGTGGAAATTTCATCCAAGAAAAACAAGACAATGAAAACTTTTGTGAAACTGTTTCAGAATGGAAAAGCCCTGAAAGCTTGTGAAGCTGACCTGACTAGACCAAGTGCCGGGACAACAGTAACAGTATATAACCTATTTTACCAGTTACCTGTAAGGAGGAAATGCATGGATCCTAGACTGGAGTTTGAGAAGGTCAGGAAGAGGATAGAAGCTCTTTCGCTTATGCACCCTTCCATTTCTTTCTCTTTGAGGAATGATGTTTCTGGTTCCATGGTTCTTCAGCTTCCTAAAACCAAAGACATATGTTCCCGATTTTGTCAAATTTATGGACTGGGTAAGTCCCAAAAATTAAGAGAAATAAAATTTAAATACAAGGAGTTTGAGCTCAGCGGCTATATCAGCTCTGAAGCACATTACAATAAGAATATGCAATTTTTGTTTGTGAACAAAAGACTGGTTTTAAGGACAAAGTTGCATAAATTCATTGACTTTTTATTGAGGAAAGAAAGTATTATATGCAAGCCAAAGAATGGTTCTGCCACTAGACAAATGAATTCAAGTCCTCGGCATCGGTCTAACCCAGAACTCCATGGGATATATGTAATCAATGTGCAGTGTCAGTTCTGTGAATATGATGTGTGCCTGGAGCCAGCAAAAACGCTGATTGAATTTCAGAACTGGGATACTATTTTGGTTTGCATTCAGGAAGGAGTGAAAATGTTTTTAAAGAAAGAAAAACTATTTGTGGAATTATCAGGTGAGGACATTAAAGAATTTAGTGAAGATAACGATTTTAGTTTATTTAGTGCTACTCTTCAGAAGCATGTGTCTTCTGATGAGAAGGGTGACCAGGTCAGTTTCCAAGAAGCATGTAATAGTATTTTGGATTCCTATGAAATGTTTAATTTTCAATCAAAAGCTGTGAAAAGAAAAGCTACTGTAGAAAACAGAAGAAACACACAGAATTCTAGAGATTCAGAAGCTACCAGAAAAAACACAAATGATTCATTCTTGTACATTTGTGAATCAGATGGCCCAGGCCATGGTAAAGTGACAGAGTCATCTTTACAAAACAAAGATAGCTCTTGCTCAGAATCAAGGATCTTACAACAACAGACAGCTGAAGCATCAGAATGGGGAGAAAATGGGAAACATAAAAAACTTTGCTTAGAATGTAACTCTTCAGAAAGTCCATGTAGAACCAGTTCAGAAATGTTTGTAAACCCTTTTCAGACATCATACTGCTTTGAGAAGAATAGAGAAGATCTAGAAATACAGAAAGCAAGTGCTATTGTTAATGGCATGGCTGCCAGTATCCTGAAAAATAATGGAGTTCAGAATCAATTAGAGAGATTTAAAGACGCTACCAAAATGGGATCCCAACCTCTGCCTTTTGAGACAACGTTATTGAGAGTACGTGGTGCTCAGAGAGAGGAAGAGAAAGAAAAACAACCTAGTAATTGTGGAAGAGTAAACATTTTTAGTTATGGACAAGTTAAATTATGCTCCACTGGCTTTATAACTCATGTGGTACAAAATGAGCAAACTAAATCAACTGAAAGAGAACATTTACTTAAAAACTGTATTCAACCTGGTCCCGTGAGTGCCAGAGAAACATTTGTAAACAGAGCATGCCATTCAGTTGAGACTCCAAACATCGAAGATCCAACCAGCACTTTAAGTAAAGACCTTGCTCAACTGTCTGACAAGAAATTGCGCAGAACAAATACAAGTTATGGGCTAGAGAACAAACCTGTAGCAACTTGTGAAAATATTGCTGTTTCTCAGGAAGGTACTAAAGAATCACACATGGATTGCTTATTACTTGACACATCCTCTTCTTCCCCTTGGTGTAGATATGTTTCAAATGGTAGTAAGAAAATAGATAAATTGATTGGTTTCTCCAAACCCATAGCCCGTAAGAAACTAAGCTTAAGGTCACAACTGGGATCTTTAGAGAAGTTTAAGAGGCAATATGGGAAGGTTAAAAGTCCTCTGAATACAGAGGTGGAAGAAAATAATAATTCTGAAATCTCTACCAATCTCGGTCCTCAAGTTGAACCTGACATTGCATGGAAAGAGAAGAATCACTTAGACAACTCAGGCATTTGTAAAATCACTGCTATGAAACATAATGATTCAAATAATAATTGTCTGCCAGTAAGTCACATCTTTTACTCAAAGAAGTTTCCATTCTCTAGTGAAGAAGATTGTTTGGAACAACAGACTCCTTGCTTAAGAGAAAGTCCTGTAACTCTAAAGGAATTATCTGATTTTAACAGAAAACCTTTGGATGCCAAGCAGTCTCCTAAATCTTTAGCCTCTAAATTATCCAGAATGAAAGGTTCCAAAAGAGAGACTCAAGCATTGGAAATGATGGGTCATTTTAATGAACTTCCACAATCAGATTCTAGTAGGAAAGACCATGACTTGTGCAGTGGGTTAATCCTGGATTCTTGCAAGTTGTTTAAAAATGAGTATAAAAAAACAGACAGTGGCATCATTCCAGTGTTGGACTCTGTCACACAGGATAATCCCTTCAATAAAGATAGTAAAACATACTCTAACAACAACACAACAGGGAACTCCGTGATACCAGAAACTCCTTTGGTATTACCCCGTAGTCATTCTAAAGTCATCAGTGAAGATACAGATGTTCTTATAGCTTCAGACCCACAGACAGGAAGTCCTGACTCTCCCAGTAAAATGTTAATGAGTCACATGGAAGATGGCACAGCTGACAGAAAAGGAACTCATTTTCAGAGTGAAGAATCTATAGCAAGAACTTGTTCTGAAAATGAAGAGTCAAACACATGTTCTTTGGATTGGCAGCAGCATTTTGATGTAGCCCTGGGAAGAATGGTTTACATCAACAAAATAACTGGACTGAGTACATTCATTGCTCCTACTGAGGATGTTCAGACTGCTTGTACTAAAGACCTGACAACTGTAGCTGTGGATGTCATACTTGAGAATGGTGAGTGCTATATACTATAGTATAGTATAGTATAGTATAGTATAGTATACTGTATATATATATATGTATATTGCTCACTGGCATGGAATGCTTTTGAAGGTGGTAATAATGGCCAAAGAGTAAGATAATCATTGTCCAAAGAGATTATCTCAGCTGATAGATCATTTTCAAGTTTAATTATAAAACATGTGTTTTATGGTATATAAAGATTCTCTAGGTCCAATACTATTTACATCTAGAAATACAATGAAAGACATAATAGAATGGAAGTATTTGTATATGGATGTGTGGATGTGTAGGAGGGTGAGACCATTTTTCATGAAAATGGCACTATTAATAGTTGAGAAGATCCACAGTGCTTCCCTAGCCTCCTTTCTTCTCTCTCCCAAACATAAAACTCTCCTAGAAATTTGTCTTTAAAGATACCTGCAATGCCAGTGTGATATTTTTCTGGAAGTTGCTCTCTGCAGCTCTCAGGTGAAAAGCCAGAATGATCCTGTAATCATCCTGGGTTTCCCCAGAAGTCTCTGGCTCAGTACAGTACTATATTTTTGAACTGTTTGTGTTTTTAGAAAAAAGGACTTGACCATAAATTTTTTGGAATGTAGGTTAAGTGTGTATTTTCCCAACTATACTTTTCAGACATGGTTTATTATAATACATATGCTAATCCATTTGATCGGTTTATGCTATAAGTAGCCGGTATTCAGGAAGACAGTATTGTGGCTTTGAAATCATACCACAAGGCTACATCAGAGCCTAGATTGGGACTCTTGAGTTCTCATGTCTCAGTCAACATTAAAAGTGACATTGTTTTGGCAGTGTGTTGAGAGCCAGATGTTGGGAGATGGTAAAACTGATTTCCATCTGGCTATAATCTTGGTTTCGCATCAGGAGGATAAACATTAAATGTGCATCCATATTAAAAGTCTTGAATGTTGCAAAAGAATGTAAACTGTATGAATGTAATTGCAAATTGACTTGTAATGCTCCTTAGCATGAATATCTCTAGTAGGAGGCTCTGATTTATCTAAGGTTAAATAAGGCCTTTATTTTTCAGTGGTTTCCAGTTTTTCCTCATGAAAAAATAATCACTGTAGTAACTTTCAAAGTTTTAAGTAGGAGAACTGTCTTTCAGCACTGCTCCTGAGACTCTCAGGTGGCTCTTAAAGACATACGTGATTTTCAGTTGACGTAGTTTTATGTCCTGTTTTATACTGACTGCTTATCGGAAGTAAACCTAAAGCACTGGCACCTCATCTTCCTGAAATGCAACTGCTTTTAAATGGAGACAAAAAAGGCCGCGATTACATTAACCTGAGATGGTTGCTGCTGAATCAAAGTGGGAACGTCAGCTGCTGCACACAACATGAACATCTGCTTCCGTTGAGCCGATCTAGATGTTTAAAACACTTCAACCTATTTAACTTTCTGCATTAGCAAGTCTTGTAACAAGTCTCTGAAGTGTCCTGTTAACTCAATTCCATAAGAAAAATGAAAATAAAAAAGTATGTTGGGTATAGAAACGAGTTTCATGGAAAGATGGCTCCCCCATTCACATTGTATGTCACACCTTCTGTAAAGGGCTAACGTGTGGTAGGACGTTGGGACACTGCTGAACCATACAGAAAAACGTTACTTAGGATGAATTGTTAAGAGGCAAATTAAATCGTACACAAGAGAATATCTATACAGGTAATTTTAAGGAGTGGTGTAAGTCTCTAAGCCTTGGCAGTTTTTTTCTTCAAAATGCCTTTAATTCTGGGGCGCCTGGGTGGCTCAGTCGGTTAAGCATCTCACCTGGGCTCAGGTCATGACCTCACTGTTCTTGAGTTCGAGCCCCCGGTGGGGCTCTGTGCTGACAGCTCAGAGCCTGGAGCCTGCTTCCGATTCAGTGTTTCTATCTCTGCCCCTCCCCGGCTCGTGCTCTGTCTCTCTCTGCCTCTCAAAAATAATATATAAAAACATTAAAAAATTTTTTTTGAAGGAAGAAACATTAATTTAAAAAAATTAAAATGCCTCTAATTCTGTCCTTTCTATTACCAATAACACAACCTAATTTCACCTTACCCTTTCATTTTATCATTCTGAATTCATCTCTCCAGTTCTTGTCCAATGGATTTATTGTTTTGAAATAATAGTTCCATCATGTTTTGGCCCCTATTCAAAAACTGTCAAATGCAGGCACTGTTTCTAAAACTCAATCATCCTTCAGAGAGGACGGCAGAATTTAGGCCAGATGTTACTGGACTTTGGAGTTTATTTTTTAAATGTATGTTTTTTTTTTTTATTTTAGAGAGAGAAAGAGAGAGCAGAGAGGGATAGAGAGAGAGAAGAGGAGAGAATCCCAGGCAGGCTCCATGCTATCAGCACCGAGCCCGATGTGGGGCTTGAACTCACAAACCGTGAGATCACAACCTGAGCTGAAACCAAAAGTCTGATGCCTTACTGACTGAGCCACCCAGGCACTCCTGGACTTTGAAGTTTAAATTGAGAACTTCTCATTCATTTATCTGTTCATGTATTCATTCATTTATTGTTCACACTGCTAGGTTGCAGATTCACTGGCTTGGCTTTCAGGAGTTCACAATCAATTAGGGAAGACAGCTATGTGAACGTAATATCAGATAAATGTTATAATAGCAACACATTTTGAGTATAAGAGACATAAACCTGGGGACTCGTGAAAGTTGCACCAAGTAGTGAAGGCTAACAATTAAGTACCAGTATATGTCAGATACCAGCTATATCAACCGTGACACTTGACATTTTGGACTCATAACTCTTTGTCGTAGGGTTCGTCCTATACATGTAGAATATTTGGCAGTCCCTAGCCTCTATCTCTGCTAGATACCAGTAGCACCCCTTACCCAGGTTGTGACAACCACATGTTGCCAAATGTCTCTCATACAAAATTGTGCCCGTTGAGAATCAGTGATCTGTTTTAGTGCTCATTCTGTCTGGTATATATGGATAACGGGACTAAGCATTAATGTAGGTTCCTAAATTGCAGCATATCTCATTAAAGAACTCTGACTCTCAATCTCGTGCTTAGTAGTCTGCCTCAGGTCTCAACTCCATTTGTGCAGAAAGATTTTAATGTAACTTGATTTTTTAATAATTTATATTTTGAGTTCAAATGTCTAGGTTTTCTTTTTTACATTTAGGATCTCAGTACAAGTGTCATCCTTTTAGAAGCGACCTTGTTCTTCCCTTCCTTCCTAGAGCTCGGGAAGAGAGGACTGTGATGAGACAGAATAACAGAGGTAGGGGCAAAAACAGAGGTTGCCGGGACATCTAGTACATACTGTACCACCTAACTAAAAAAAAATTTTTTAAAAAGCAGGGTTGTGTTATTAAGCTTGATCAGGGCCAGCTGTGCCTTCCTGGAACCAGTAATTCCCCACGGTCCTATTTAACAGCAGAACTAAGTAATTCAGTGCATGCATTTAGATCAGAAATTACTTTTCCAGACTTAAAGTCAATACTGGGTGATTATGCACAGTCTGTGGTGTCTTGTGATTGAGAGAATATCTCTTATTTTTAAAGATTGGAGTTGCACTCCGTATTGTAGTAGTTTTATGTAAGCAAAATCCTTATTTTCAAAAAAGCTGCAGATTCTTTGTTTCTAAAAATAGGTAAGGTATATTTTTATCTAAAGGAAGTGAGACTACTAATTTGAACCAGTTTCTTCTGGATTTGTATTCTGAAATATCTCTTGAAAATAGTTTGGAGAAAAAGCTATAATGCCAAAAGATACAGTCATCAACTCTAACTTAAAAAGTAACAGATCAGAACAATTTAGAGATCCAGCAAACACTAAACTTTTGTAGAATATTGGGACAATATGTCTGATCTTTGATCTTGCCGCTGCACCACAGCAAACGGGAGTGCCACTCACCTTTTTTTCTGCGGCTCTCGATGCCAACTTGATCTGTTTCCTTTTGCCTTAGATGCTGTGGATGATACTGTTGGTAAAGAATCACTTCAGTCTTTGTTCTCAGAGTGGGAAAATCCAGTATTTGCCCGTTATCCAGAGGTGGGTCTGTAGCAAATTTTCTTTGCTTGTTATTTTAAAATTTGTACTTCATTTAAGCTGGATATGAGCATGAATGGCTATATTAATTTTTAATTACAAGCGGAAAGTGGGCATGTTTCCAAATAATTTATTTGGAAATACTATTTAATATAGAGAGGAGAAATCAGAATCCATAGAATTTGGGAGCTCAGACATTCTGGATTAAACATGTGTAGTCAGTGTGTGATGAGTTGAATGTGTTTACCACTCTTAGAAACCCTATCTTGCAGCTTTGGCAGGATATTTAGGGTGGTGATAATTAAAACAAAACAAAACAAAAAGCACTGTTACATCATCAGATAAAATAGCCAGTCTTCTACTGGAGGAACAATTCATCATTGGACGTGAGTGTATGTGTTCTCAGTGGGTTATCACAGAAGGTACTTTGTGTGTTGTGATAAAGGTGTAGAATAAATGAGCACTTGATTACTGATTTTTCAGTTAAGATGTGTTTAAGGACTTGATCATGGAACATAAACGAATCGTTATTCTGAAACAACATTGGTTTTTGTTAGTAATTTTGTTTATACCCCAAAATTATTATTTAAGACTAATAATTCACAGAGCTTTTTGAATTTCTCTAAGGTCCCTGAATTCAACCCACTTCTAGTAGGTTCTATGAAAATGATAAAGCAGTTTGGGATCTTTGGTAAAACAGTTCTGCAGATATAAAGAATTAAAAATTTAAATGATGTTTGTGCTGCTTTCTAGGTTGCTGTTGATGTAAGCAGTGGCCAGGCCAAAAGCCTCGCGGTTAAAATTCACAATGTCTTATATCCTTATCGTTTCACCAAAGAAATGATTCATTCAATGCAGGTAAGAGATTGACTTTGAAATCTCATAAAAATATATATAAGACCTAAGCTGGACTAACTCTTGTGAAATTGGATTTATTTAATGATCTAGACCACCTTGGTCAAGGCACGTGTGTTTTTTTAAATCTTACTAGAACTTTTATTATCAGAAGAAAAAGCAGGGACCAATTTTAATTACAAAGGAAAAAATGTCTTCAGTAGTGTGAGCAGGTTGGAGGGATGAATTAAGGATTGAGGCTCACAGTTTCAAGGATTATATATTGACTTTATATTTTGACAATAATTTATAAATCAACTAAATCCTGTACAGACATTGTCCTTAAATGTACAACAGTGCCCCTTTGTAAATGACCCTCTATTGTGTGAGGCGACAAATGACATGGCCTAGGAGACTCCAGATTGAGGAGCAGTCTTAACAAAAGGGACCCCTTGTCTCATCTGCTTTGCTAGTTTGCCCTCTCCCTACACCACTCAGGCTGTCTTCATCTCCTTATTTTCAGTATGGAAACAAATTAGGAGGTTAGATAGATCTAGGTAAACCCCTCACATGGCACTGACCTGGTACCAGAGCAAAGCAAGCTCTTGATCACCCAGAGTGGGGCATGAGCTCACCTGATGTGGGACTCGAAGTCCCGAACCGTGAGATCATGACCTGAGCTGAAGTCAGATGCTTAATGACTGAGCTGCTTAGGCGCTGAAACAACAGTTTTAGTTAAACAATAGGGACCGAGGCAGGGAAGTGCAATGAGAACCTTGTCTGTACCTGGACAGAGAGGAGTCCCCAAGGGTTAAAGCCCCTGGTGGCTATTAACTTACTACTTTAAGGGATTAGCTCCTCTGAAACGGTTTTCCTTACTTTTGCAAAATGCAAAATTTATTTTAGCCCCATTTGTTAGCAGTCTCTGGTCATGAGTAGGGGAGGAGCAGAGAGAGAGGGAAACACAGAATCTGAAGCAGGCCCCAGGTTCTGAGCTGACAGCACAGAGCCCCTCGCAGGGCTCGAACTCACGAGTCATGAGATCATGACCTGAGCCGAAGTCGGATACTTAACCGACCAAGCCACTCGGGCACCCCAAGCCACTCAGGCGCCTCTGGTCATAGTTACCTATGAGTAAGAGTCCTGTCGGGAGAATCTCAGGTGTGCTCTGTAGAGTTTTGTTGCTTGCGTGTCCTTTTTAGAATCCTTAGCCTGTAGTCTCCTTCCTTTTATGCCTTCTGATAGCTCTGCTTATTTTTTTAATCCTTCCTAATGACTCCCTTACCATAGTCTTAGATATGAAGATTATAATGCAAATAACTCTTAATTAAGTGCAGTTTTATCTCTTTGTACACAGATGAGGCTTTGTTAACTTTTATTTAGTGTTGTACCACTTATTTGAATATATGGCAGGTTCTACAGCAAGTGGATAACAAGTTTATTGCCTGTTTAATGAGCACCAAGACTGAAGAAAATGGTGAGGCAGGTAAGAATGGAGTTTAGCCTTGATTAATAACCAGCTGGTCTCCTAATAGCCTCCTTTTAAGGTTTTTTTTTTAGTGTTTATTTATTTATTTTGAGAGAGAACATGTGTGTGTGCAAGCGTAAGCAGGGGAGGGGCAGAGAGAGGGAGAGAATCCCAAGCTAACAGCACAGAGCCCAGTGTGGGGCTGGAACTCACAACCATGAGATCATGACCTGAGCCGAAATCAAGAGTGGGACGCTTAACCGACTGAAAGACGCAAGCACTTCTTAAGATATTTTTTTTTTTTTTCAACGTTTATTTATTTTTGGGACAGAGAGAGACAGAGCATGAATGGGCGAGGGGCAGAGAGAGAGGGAGACACAGAATTGGAAACAGGCTCCAGGCTCTGAGCCATCAGCCCAGAGCCCGACGCGGGGCTCGAACTCACGGACCGCGAGATCGTGACCTGGCTGAAGTCGGACGCTTAACCGACTGCGCCACCCAGGCGCCCCATTAAGATATTTTTAATATATAATATAGTTGCAATGATTTGGACAGATTAAAGCCAATTGGGAAAACCAATCTAAATTTATATGAAAGAACATTGTTTTTTTGTTTTGCTTTTTGTTTTTGGGGGGGGGGGGGGTCACAAGTGAGTGATGGACAGACAGAGAGGGGGCGGAAAGAGAGAGAGACTATCCCATGAGGGGCAGAGAGAGAAAGAGAAAAGCTGGGCTCACCCAGAGTGGGGCTCATGCTCACCTGAAGCAGGGCTGAAGCTCACCCGAATAAGCGGGGTTCGTGCTCACCCAAAGTGGGGCTTGTGCTCACCCAAAGCAGAGCTCACCCGAAGTAGGGAATGAACTCACCTGATGTGAGACTAGAACTCAGGAACCGTGAAGTTATGACCTGAGCCGAAGTCAGATGCCTAAGGACTGAGCTACCCAGGCATTGAAACAACAGTTTTAATGTGCATTAGTTTTGTATACATATACAGAGACATATGTATGTAAGATACATTTCAAACTATTAATAGTAGTTGCCTTTGGAGTGACAATGAGAGTGGGCAAAGGGGAAATTTCATCTTTTATTCTTTAAAATATGTTATGTTGTTTGACTTTTTGATGTTTCACGTATTCCCTTTGTAATAATAGAAAGTTCATATGATGAACCCTGCTAAGTTTATCAAGAATTACATACAATATCTCGGTGACCTACTTTAATAAAGCAATAATAGTTTGTAAATAATAACATTAACTCATCGAACAAGCATTGATTGACTGCCTGTTGCATGCCAGAGACTGTACTAGGCCCTAGCCCATAATGGTGGCAAAAAATTCACATGTAAGAGAAACAGATAAGGACATAAATGTTAAAGTTTTAATTCTAGCTAACATTACGGGAGAAACAAGATGCTGTAAGAAACTGTACAGAGAGATTTGAATTAGGGAGGTCTGGAAAGGTTTTTTTTGGTAAAGTGAGGATGAGTATGAGCATTTAACTAAGTAAAGAAGGGAGGGAGGAGTATTCTGGGCTGAGGGAATGACATACACAATTTGTGTTTCCTCTCCTTGAGTGAGAGGAAGCAGGACAAGTACAGCTGGAGTGAGAGTGCAGAGATGAGGCCAGAGAAGTAGGTCAAAGCCAGATCTTAAGTGCCAGTTACAAGCTTTGTATTTGTCCCGACACCAATTGGAAACAACGGGAAGCTTTCTGTTTTCTTTTTTTATTGTTTTTACAGTGGCACATGTCACATTCCATTTGTACTTTGAAAATATTGCTCTGGTTGCAGTGTGGAGAATGGATTGGGGGTGGGGTGGAGTCCCAGTACCTGCAAAAAGATTGGTAGGAAGGATATTTCAGTATCTAAAAATGATAGTTGGTGAAGCCTAGCGAGTGCATTGGGAGGATATGTAGGAGAGAAAGTCAGCAGGGTTTAGTGATGCATTGGCGATGGGAAGGGAGATCAAAGATGACTCCTGATTTTCTGACCTCTGTAACTGAGTGGATGATGTTCCCGGACCAGGTGACAGAGATCACAAGGAGAGCCTTAGAAATCTGTGGCATGGAAGAGAAGGACTGAAGGAGGGTGAGGGTGAAAGAAGACTTGTTTTTGTTTTTTTCCAATCGGAAGACTTTTGAGCACATTTATGAGGCATGCGTGATAGTGCAGGTGGCTGAGAGCCCTGAGCACCAGTGGAGGGTTTGGGCCCAGACCAGTAGACCTGCAGGCGAATGCTTCTAAAGTTTGAAAGCAGCTTATTCTCTTTGTATTTCAAAATATTCCCTTTTACCTTGCTTACATTGTAGATTTATTTAGTAAATGTCATAATAGGTCAGAATTGTCATAAATATGGATTCAGTGAAAGTCAAATTCTAGTAGTTTGTTTTGGAAAAATGAATAGATTTTTTTTCTAAGGTTTTGATGACCTAGAATTCTTTGTTGTTTAATACCAAAATCTCTACTAATGGCACCTAGGATGGGGTTACTAAGAAAATCTAAAGAAGAGAAAATACATTACAGTACTGTACTGGTCTTTTTTAATGTTTTATTTATTTTTGAGACAGAGGCAGAGCATGAGTGGGGAGGGGCAGAGAGAGAGGGAGACACAGAATCTGAAGCAAGCGCCAAGCTCCGAGCTGTCAGCACAGAGCCCGATGTGGGGCTTGAACTCACGAACTGTGAGATCATGACCTGAGGTGAAGTTGGACTCTTAACCAACAGAGTCACCCAAGCATCCCAGTTCTGTACTGTATTTATCGAAAAAAATGTACACATAAGTGGACCTGTGCCATTCACACCCATGTCGTTCAATAGTCAACTTTAGTCAGATGCCACCAAAGAGTACTCTTAGATAAATACATTTTTTTAAATAAAAATGTAAGTGCTTTTACTTTCACTCATTAGTACTAAAAGCAACCTGTTCCTATAATCGACTTATTTTAATATGTGCACATAATTTTGTAATTGACAAATATATTATTGTTTTAAAACTTTTTTTTTTTTTTAAGTAGGCTTCACACTGAGCACAGCGCCCAACACAGGGCTTGAACTCATGACCCTGAGATCAAAGCCTGAGCTGAGATCAGCCGGACACTTAGAGAACTGAGCCCCCCAGGAGCCCCTATTACTGTTTTTAAATTAAGGTGACATTAATGCCATATATTGGCATTTTGTATTGCATGTTTCCACCTATGATAAAATACAATTGTTCAGTTATGATACCCCAAAGAAAAGGATTCGTTCATTTATTCTGTAAATATTTGAGTACCTATTATGTGCCTGGTACCATTATACATGCTGGGAGTACAACAGATAAAATTCCTTGCCCTTGACACCTGGGTGGCTCAGTCGGTTGAACGTCCAACTCTTGATTTCAGCTTAGGTCATGATTCCAGGGTTGTGGGCTTGAGCCCTGCGTTGGGCTCCACACTGAGCATGGCACCTGCTTAAGATTCTCCCTCTCTCTCTCTCTCTCTCTCTCTCTCTGTCTCTCTCTTTGTCTCTCTGTCTTCTGCCCCTCTCCCCTGCTCATACTGTCTCTCTAAAATAAAGAAATAAATGAAAATAAATAAAGGGAAAAAAGAATCCCTTGCCCTTATGAAACTTCTATTGTGTTAGAATATCAAAAATACAGCTTCTGATGTGATTAAATTACTTTCATATATTCTGCTTCATTCAAGGAATAGAAAATGTTGTGAGCCCTATATAGACTATGAATCATTCTGCCACCATCACGTACAGGATTGATTTCTTAGGGTTCCTGACTCTTGGTAATTCACACTGACTCCAATTTCAAGTTTGAGGTTACTCCCTCACAATTTATTATTTATTCCATTGTTTTGCCCAATACAGGATGTTCAGTATTCATCACAACCAGCTGCAACTCCTCCTATCCTCAAAGGAATTTAAAATTCAATATTTTGGGGCCTATTCCTGTGGTTGAACATACTGTCAGAAAAATTAGTTCCTTTTTTTTCCTGAAGTCTTAAGCTCTCATGCCATGAATTTGATGGTGTCATAAAAACATTATATCCTTTAGTAGAAATGGAAAAAACAGGTATTATCTATTTTGATCAAATTCAGGAGGAGAGCTTTTATTTCAAAACAACTGATAGCAATAGACCTCAACCTTTGGACCAGATTAATAAAATGACAAGATAAAAAGATGTACTAATGTAATTGAGAATCAGTCCTCCTGTCAACGAGAAAGGGATTTCCCTGTAGGCTTGGTTTTTTGGGTCAGGACATTCTGCCTTCTTTCTTGTACTTGAGAGTCCAAAGCCTTTCTACTCAAATGCGTGGTCTGTAAATAGCATCAGTTGGGAGTTTGTTAAAATTGCAGAATCTCGTGTGTCATCTGTAACCTACTGAATCAGAATCTGCACTTTAATAAGATCCACAGGCGATCTGTATGCCCATCAAAGTTTGAGAAACCTGGGTCTAAAACAAGGCAAGCTGTGGCTGTGGGTCAAATCCAACCATCACCTGCTTTTGTGCACCCAGGGAGGTGAGAATGGTTTTTACAGTTCTAAATGATTGAAAAAGCCAAAGAAGAATATTATTTCTTGACACATTAAAATTATATGAAATTAATATTTCAGTATCCATAAATAAAGTTTTGTTGGAACACAGCTACAATGTTCACATACTGTCTATGGCTGCTTTGGTTCAAAAGGAATAGTGAGTAGTTGTGACAAACTATATGTCCTAAAAAGCCTAAAATATTTACTATCTGGCCCTTCACAGAAAAATTTGCTGACCTCTGATCTAAAGTAGACTAGATCTGGGGTACCTGGGTGGCTCAGTTGATTAAGCACCCGACCTCGGCTGAGGCCATGATCTCTCCATTCCCGAGTTGAGCCCTGCATTGGGCTCTGTGCTGACAGTTGGGAGCCTGGACTCTGTTTCTGATTCTGTGTCTCCCTCTCTCTCTCTGCCCCTACCCCACTTGCACTTTGTCTCTCTCTCTCAAAAATGAATACATATTAAAAAAAGAAAAAATTTTTTTAAATGGACTGCATCTGGCCCGCACCTTTTTAATATGTAAATGGTTTGTGAGAAAAGTTTAAATTGGCCAGAAGCAGCCTGTCTTTAAAAAAAATTCTAATTACACTTAAATTTAAAATACATAATTATTATATAATGTAAATCAACAAATTGAATTTATATGTTTGGTTATAATGTTTCTTAAAGTGAATCACATCTGTCATTTATTAAAAGTGTACTCTCTGGAAATAAAAAGTGTACTAGAATTACATTCTCTGTGGGCTCCAGAGTAGCTTGCAAATCAAAGTCAGCTGATTTTGATAATGTGTTTAAGGGCCTTCATTGTATCAACCTGAATTAATAAAGCAAAATCAGTATTTAAACATTAGGAATATAGGGCTTTAACCTTGTTTTGTAAATGAAATACCAATGTATTCAAAAGTTTCTCATTAGGGATAAATTTATAGTTTTCCCCATAATTTCAATTTTTTAAGAAATGAAAGATACATACTAAGTATGTATGTCTTTCTTATGCTTATGTCATTAGCTAGTTTGAATTAACCTTTTTTTCCCTCCACACAACATGATTATTTTAATCATTGATCTGAGAATTTGATACTCCAGTAATCCTTGCTCGTGTTCTAGGTGGAAACCTGCTAGTCTTAGTGGATCAGCATGCCGCCCATGAGCGTGTCCGTTTAGAGCAGCTGATTGTTGGTAAGGATCTGTTTGGAACTAGAAAATATGTGAAACTGCCCTGCACAATTAGTATACTGAAAGAGTTTTTCTAACTGTGGCTGTCGTGAGGAAAGATGAATTGTATGTTTAAAAAAAGTAATCTGAAGCCTTCTGGTTTGGCTTCTTGTTTAACTGAAAGAATATAGTGATTCACTTCACAGATTCGAATTTGGTGGTCTTACATGGTCAAAGACATATTTGCCATACATTTGTCATCAACCCTAAGGGCTGGGTACCTAAGGATTAGGCTACTTTATCGTGACATCCATCACAAAGATACGCCCCTCTGTGTGCCCATATGATCTTGGTATACCTTCTTCACAGTTCGTCAGGCAGAGACCACCACCAGCTCAGAAGGCCCAAAATATTGTTTGTACTTTAAAATTTGTTTTGGAATAGGTGGTATGAGTTCAAGTCTGAAAGGTACAAAATGGAATATGATCAAGTCTCCTTTTTACCCTTGTTCCCCATCCCACCTAGTTTCTCTCCCCAGAGACAACCAGTATCACTAATTTGTTATATGCTTTTCCAAAGCCAATATGTGTTTTTTGCCGTGCAGCGTTGGTGGTATAGTGGTGAGCATAGCTGCCTTCCAAAGCCAATATGTGCTTTTTAATCTTTGCTATGCTCTTTTCTTATCATGAGGCAGTGTTCTCCAAGTGGTAAAATCCCAGGAAAATCTTTACCCCTGTGGTCAAATAATGGAAAACTATGTCAAAGAGGTAGGTGAGGACCTAAGGAGATAGTTCATGGGCTAGAATGGCAATGACATTACTTCCATGTTCACTTTTCCGTATGAAATGAAGACCTAATTGTTGAGAAAGATCTGGTAAAAGCAGTGTTAGAAAAACTGGCTATAGGCTTGAGACCATTCATTTGAGAACAGTACTGACAAATTCTCTTCAGAGACTGGGAAACCTTTCTGAAGGAATGGGAAACTTTCTTGAACCACAGGATTGTATAGTAAACCAATTTTATTTCTTAAGTAATCAACATTATTCACCCCATTATTAAAATCACATTTATTGACTATCTACAGGAACATTGCATTGTTCATTTGAATGTAAGACTGAAGTCTTATACATCTTACTTTGGAAATACTGCTGAAATGAATAAATGGTCTGGATACTTACTCGTTTGACTATAATAATGGAAACTCAAAGCCTAAACCGGTTTGAACACACTGCTGAGCACAATAATAGTTAACATGGCTGTGCCTTCTCATGCTCTTTTTGAAGTCTAGAAGACTTCGTTTCCTACTCTGAACCCATTCGTTTCTTTTCCAATAGATTCCTATGAGAAGCAACAGCCACGAGGCTCTGGTCGGAAAAAATTACTGTCTTCCATTGTAAGCCCTCCACTAGAGATAACAGTGACAGAAGAACAAAGCAGACTCTTACGGTTAGTACTACCATGAGGACGTGATATCTATAGAATAAACTCTCACAGTAATTCTGTGCAGTACAGGCATACCTGTTGTTCCTTTTTTCAGATGAGACCCTGAGGCCAAGAGAGGTTACATGACTTGTTCAAGGTCATAACAACTCTTGAATGGTGTAGCAGGCTTTCAGATGCGGGTCTTCTGACTTCAAATGCTGTTCTTTCCACTATATCACAGCTGTTGAGTATAGGATAGAGTTTCCTTGATAATTTTTTCCAGCAGTTGGCTTAGAATCCTCTCACCATTTCTTGGAAAAGTCCGTGTTTATGCTGTGCTGTTTCTGAAAGCAAAGTTACTGCAGTAATTGCTTCCATTCTGCTTTGCCTCGGTGCATTCTAGATTCTTAGTTTTCATTACCATAATCATACTGGGAAGAAAGTAAAACACTGGGCCGCAAGGAAGGGGCAAATCATATGGTGAGTCATAAGATAGGACGTTTTCCCACTTTTGGGTGGCACAAATTATTGGAAATAAAGAATTGTCTCTGAATTCATGTCAGGTTTGGGAATATGCTACTGCCAATAAATCTTTTTCCCTGGGGCATGATGTATAGTAGAGGCAGAGCCATTTATTTACATCCAGTTAATCAGGACTTCTCAGTTCCTAGGGCTGTAAATTACCTCCCTGCTTTAATGCTGATTCAAAACATTCTCAGCCCTTCTATTTGTGCCAAACTCCTTGAAGTGCCAGCAGCGAGAAGTTAGCAGTTCCTCGGTGAAGAATAAAAACTTAGGAACAAGACTTAGAAACAAATTGATTCTCTTAATGGAAAAGAGAAAAAAAAATGCAAGTTACTGTAATTCAAACAGGAAATTTAATAATAAAATCCTAAACAAATGTATGAGAAAAGCAGTACAATTTTTAAAATTTGTGGCATCTTGTGAGAAACCCTCCAGTGCTTGGGACTGGTGCTGAAATGCGAATGAAGTAATAGTTTTGTAATTGAGGCTCTCTCTTTAGGTGCTACCACAAAAATCTGGAAGATCTGGGCCTTGAAATTATATTTCCAGACAATAGTGATTCTCTGGTCCTTGTAGGAAAAGTACCACTCTGTTTTGTACAAAGAGAAGCCAATGAACTTCGAAGAGGAAGATCTCCTGTGACCAAGAGTATTGTGGAGGTAAGACTGCTTCAGATGTTGAGGAAATTGCTAACTGGGGGTAACCTCCTGTTTTCTTTAGAAATTCTGTGTTCATCTTTCATCCAGCAAGTATCAATACCTGCTGTGTACCAGGTGCTAGAAATTAAAAGATGAATTAGCCCAAGGTGAAGAAGGACATCTAAATAATTACAAATACAATGAAATTTGGCCAGTTAGAGGGATGTTCAAAGCGCTATGGAAATACAAAATGATTACTATGCCCAGGGGGGTGGAGTTCAAGGAAACTGTCACAGAAAAGCTAATTTTTGCCTTAGGAAAAATCTGGTAGAACAGTAGGAGCCTGCCGAGTGCAGAAGAGAGAAGAAGGGCGTTCTAGACAGAACAACAGGTATCAGAGACTTGGAGCAGATCCTGTGTTTAGGGAACTACCAGTATATATGGCTCGAATTAAGATATATACGTAGTGGTGAGCTAGATGAGGCTAGATAGGTCATCAATACAAAATCATAAAGGAATTTAGCATATTCTGCTGAGTAATTTTCATTTCACCCTCTACATTTGTGTTTTGGTAAACGTCTGGAAAACTGCTTTTGGGATACGACATTGGAGGTGTTGAAGAGAACTAGAACTTCTTTACTTATGTGTTTCGCTTTTTTTTTTTTTTTAACAACAAACAGTTTATTTTGTCTTTGTTGCCTTTTCTTTGCTCCTTTCTGTTTTTCTATTAGAGTTTTCTTTATTTCTCCTTGTTTTCCTCTGCTAGTGTAGAAGTTACATATTCCATGGTCACCTGGATGGCTCAGTCGGTTAAGCATCCAACTTTGGCTTAGGTCATGATCTCAAGGCTTTGTGAGTTCGAGCCCCACATCGGGCTCTGTGCTGACAGCTCAGAGCCTGGAGCCTGCTTTGGATTCTGTGTCTCTCTCTCTCACTGCCCCTTCCCCACTCGTGCTCTGTCTCTGTCTCTCAAAAATGAATAAATGTTAAAAAAAATTTTCTTTAAGTTGTTACATATTCCATTTGTATTACTTCAGATTAGCCTTGAATTTTAGCCTTAACAAAGTTTAAGGTAATTTGCTTCTCTATTCTCTTCCTAAACTGTACAAAAGCCTTACAACCCTTTATCTTCCAGCATTCCCCTCCCATCTTCCATGTTGTTGCTCAGTATTTTAACTTGACCTTTTTTTTTTAAATTTTTTGTTTTAATGTTTATTTTATTTTTTTTTCAACGTTTATTTATTTTTGGGACAGAGAGAGACAGAGCATGAATGGGCGAGAGGCAGAGAGAGAGGGAGACACAGAATCGGAAACAGGCTCCAGGCTCTGAGCCATCAGCCCAGAGCCCGACGCGGGGCTCGAACTCACGGACCGCGAGATCGTGACCTGGCTGAAGTCGGATGCTTAACCGACTGCGCCACCCAGGCGCCCCATTAATGTTTATTTTTAAGAGAGAGAGAGACAGAGTGTGGGCAGGGGAGGGGCAGAGAGAGAGGGAGACACAGAATCCAAAGCAGGCTCCAGGCTCTGAGCTTCAGCACAGAGCCTAACGTGGGGCTCGAACTCATGGACCACAAGATCATGACCTGAACCTAAGTTGGACTGAGCCACTCAGGCACTCCAACTCGACCTGTTTTAATCTCCCTGGTAGTCATTAATTTTATAGAGTCAATGTTTATTTAGATTAATGAAAATATTTACCAGTGTCTTTGTTCAGTGTTGCTCCTTTCATCCGATTATTCATTCTGTGTTCAGCTTTCTTTTTGCTGAAAGCTTTTAAATGTTCTTTTATTAAGAGTCCGTAAATGATAAACCGTCTTTGAAAATGTCTTTATTTTGCCTTCACAATTGCATGATTGTCGAGCTAAGCAGGGAATTTCCACATTGTCAGTCATCCCTCAGTGTTTTGAGAACTTTGACGTTCTCTATGCCATTGAAGTCCATTGTCAATGTAGTTATCATTACTTTGTAGGTAATCTGATTTTCTCTCTGGTGGCTTTTAAGATTTTCTCTGTCTTTGGTGTTCTGCAGTTTCCCTATGATGTATCTTTGTTTTCATTTCCTTCTTCACATTCATCATGCTTCTTCCACTTGGAAAATGTACAGTTATTGTCACTTCAAGCACTGCTCTTTTGCCATCCTCTCTCGTTTCCTAGAAATCCTGTCAGATGTCTACTGGACCTACCTTTTTAACTTCTCTGTTGTATTTCCCATTGTTTTACCCCTTTGTGATACATTATCTTCCAGTGAGTTGAATTCTCTCTTCACCTACTATTTAACCAGATGTTTACCTGATCCACTGAGCTTTTTATTTCCATGACTACATGTTTTACATCCAGAATATTGGTTAGGTTTTTTTCTCATATCTGTCTGTTCTTTTTTCATGGTGTCCTATTTAATTCATTGTGGTTTCTACTCCTTATTCATCTCTAACTCTTTCTGTTTGGAGCACAGGTAAAAAGTCTACAATTTTCCCAGAAGTCTGAGTTACTTTAGTCATATCTAAAAATAAAAATTAGAAGATAGATTTAGTAGATAAATTGTATGCTACATAGATATGGGAAATGTTTGAGGCAGGGAGCACAGTTGAGAAGCTATTGATTGCACTGGTTCAAATAGGAAAGGATGAGGACCTAAGTCAACGGCATTGGGAATTGAAAGGAGAGACATACTTGAAACATAAGTTGGAAAGTAGAACTAAGAGGACTTGGTGAACAATAATAGAAAGTATAAAAGGGATTAAAGGAGAAAAGATAAGATAGGATTCTGAAGGTTCTAGCGTGGATGACTGGAAGGATGGTAATGCCATCAACAGAAAAAGGAAGTAGAGGAGGAGGGGTATACCTGCCTGGGGAGTTAGATTATGAGCCTGGGTTTAGATGCATTGAATGTGCCATCACATGGGGATGTCTAGTGGATAGGCAGGCTTACACATCTGTGCTTGGGAGAGAAACCTGGGCTGTATGTATGTTTGAGGTAGTTAATAGTATATATATATTTATAACATCAGAAGCTGGAGAAGAGCCTAGAGGAAGTGTGACTACCAAGGAAGAATATGAAGAATAAAAAGAGAGGAGAGCAAAGGGTGGAGTTGGTGGCACACCAGTATTCAGGGTGCATATATTTTGGCAGCGGTCTGGAAAGCTGCTGCTGAAAAGAAGAAACTGTAAAGGATGATTGAAAATATTTAGTCAGAGAGAGGAAGAAAATCAGGAAAAAGTAATATTACTAAAACCAATGAAAGTTTTAAGCAAGAAGGGAATGGTTAGCAATAGCCATCAAGCCTAAAAAGTTGGATTTGGCTATCATGAGGACGGTGTTCCATGGTGGCGTCTGCTCCTTGGGGTGGGGGGGGGGGCGCCCAACGCGGGTTGCTATGGGTCAGGGAGGGAGTGGAGGAAGAAGAGGTAGAGCTCAGTAGCCTGCTCTTTCAAGAGTTTTCAGAAGAAGAGAGAGAGGGTGAGAGCTAAAGGTGGTCTGCAGTGTGGGGCAGGACACGGGGTAGGAGAAAGATTTTGGTGTGTTTTCAGATGGGAGAGACTTAAGCATGTCTGTAGGCTAAGGGTGAGAAGACATTTGAGAGGGAAAGGCAGTTAATAGTGCCAGTGCTTGGACCATCATGAGTTTGGCCCTTCCAGAATTGCTCTCTGATCAGACAGCCTTTGCTTTGCTTTCAGCAGTGCTCTTTTTCCCAACACAGCCTTTTTTCTCCAGAGCTCCTCCTCTGTGACTTTAACTGTCTTAAATCCAAAAGATAAAATCTGTTAGAATCTTTTATTGTAATTCAATCCCTAAGTATTTAACCAGAAAATTATAATAACAACTTTCCCCAAAGAGACTTCAAAGACTGCTGGTAAGGAGTTTACTTCACATTGAAATACAGCTTATGGCTTCAGAAAATCTTGACTATGTTAAGTCACACTGCTCAGGAGAGATTTGTTAATTCTGGAAGAAGCTGGAACAGTTTTGGTATCTTGAAAAGGAGTAGCTACTTGGATCCTGACAGTTGAAAGATCACAAATATTTTCTATAAAGTTCTGTCCTTTAGCCTGATGAGTGTGCCTTTTTAATATTAAGTTATCTGGTATTAATTGAACAATTGAAATGTGACATGAACAGAGATACGATCTTTCTCCCCTTCACCAGGCTTAAAAAATGATGTGTCACAAGTCCCAGATGACCAAGCACAACAGAGAATGGCAAAGAGGTTAGGTTTGATCTCTGTCCACACTAAGCTTTTTAATGGGTCAGGTATTATGAAACATCTTTCTGTGTAGGTTTGTTTGGGAACGTATGCAGCTTTTAAAAAATATATGGTATCTACCACCCAGTGCTTGGTAACTGTGCTCATTTGTAAGCATGGTGGACTAGGGTGTCTTTGAGGAAACGGGAGAATTTTCTGAGTCTGGTTTAACAAGAAGATCTACCATTTTGTAATCTTAGGAAGGTGATTTATACATAGCCAATTCTAGGAGTAAAAAAATCTTGGGTTTTCTTATAAAGAAATTATTAAATGTGCTGTATCTCAAAACAGTTTTTTTTAGCTCCAGAGGTTAAACAAATTGGTAGCATGAAAAATAGTGTCTGCTTTAAATTTCTCCGAAGTCCTTTTGTAAATATTAACATCTGCAGGGATAACTATTGAAAAGGCTACTTGAGGGACAGAAATATACTAGTGAGGAGAAACTCAACAAAATGGCCCCCAAAATAAGCTTTTCGACCCCGAATGGAATTGTCAAAAAAAAAAAAAAAATGCTGTGGGAACTAAAGTGACTACTTATGTTTACTATATATCTAAGCGAATGTCCCACTCAGTGCTCCATTGTGTTGATGATCGTTGTGTATTTATTGCGTTTGTGTGTAGCATTACACTTGCTCTGGCTAAGATCATAAATACACGCAGCCTCTTAGTGAAAAGCCTCCCTGAGAGTTAGACTCTGGAATCATCAAAGCTGCTCTCAGCAGTTACATAACTTCATGAGTTATGAGCTGTCTCTGGAGGAAGCTTCAGTAGCTAAATATATTCTCTCTTCAGTAGGAGTTCTATTAAATTGTCTTGGTATTTCATATTCAGAGTGCCTCACAACAAATAAATTATTTGCACCTAAGTGCTATATTGCTGGAACTCTCTCCTTTATGAGGTGTATTTTTTTTTTAATATTCCTTTATTTATTTTGAGAGAAAGAGAGAGAGAGAGAGAGAGAGAGAGAAGGAGGAAGAGGGGCTGAGAGAGAGGGGGAGAGAGAGAATCTCAAGCAGGCTCCATGCTGTCAGTGCTGAACCGGACACAGGGCTCAATCCCACTACCACAAGATCATGACCTGAGCCAAAATCAAGAGTCAGACACTCAACTGACTGAGCCACCCAGGCGCCCCAGGAAGTGTATTTTTAAACTATAAAAGAAGAGTTACAACAATGGATTAATGCCTGTTTTCCTTTCTGCTTTGTAGGAATTTATTCGAGAACAAGTGGAGGTAAGCCTCTTATTTTGGGGTCTCACACAGAGGCACCACTCACAAAAGGCTCTATTGTCGCATTTCCTTTTCCCTTCATTTTCTTAATGAAGAATGTGTTTATGCATTAGCTACTCCAGACCACAGGAGGCATCCAAGGGACTTTGCCACTGACTGTCCAGAAGGTGTTGGCATCCCAAGCTTGCCACGGTAAGACTCAGCACACCAGATAATGAGTGCTTCTGTATGCTAAGCCCCGGCAGGAGTACAGAAGTTATGAAAGAGATAGAAGGCACATGTACTACTCACTTCTTGGAGGGTAAAGTTTATTATTTATTTTTTAAAGTTTATTTATTTTGAGAGAGAGAGAGAGAGCATGAGCTGTCAGTGTGGAGCCCGACATGGGGCTCAGTCTCACAAACCGTGAGATCATGACCTGATCCAAAATCAAGAGTCAGACGCTTGACTGACTGAGCCACCCAGGCGCCCCATGGAGGGTACAGTTTAGATCAAGAAACTGAATACACTAAGAGTGAACACTAAAAAATTGCTTTTACAAAGCAAAACACCAACACATACATTTGACCATAATTCGGACTGACACGGATGAGTGGAGCGGTAACTGATAGAGGAGATGCATTGTAAGTCAAGCCTTGAACAAACCGAGGGACATGGATTCATAGGATGGAAGAGAAGGTTTGCCACAAGGGGTAGAAATAGCCTATGCACAGATCGAAAGGCAGAAAGAAATTAGTTACATGAGGAGCAGCAAAGGATACCAAGAAATTAGGCTGGTAAGAAAGAATAGAAGCCTACAAGAAAAATTTATAATTATTGTATAATTATTTGTTTCATGTTTGTCTCGCCTGTTGGACCCATTGGATCATAAGCCCCCTAAAGGCAGAGACCATCTGTCTCATTCACTGCCTGACATAGCTCCTGCTGCACAAAGTACATACTTACAAATATTTGTTGACCGAGTGAATTAATGTATCAATGTCTGCATAAAAGCAGGAAGATTATTATGGAAATAGAAAAAAGCAAATAAAATGGACATTGTGGGAAAAACAATAAGTAGAGATCTTTGTGATAGACTGGCTAAAAGATGATCTTGATTTTACAATCTGTAAGAAGTAAGCAAAATGTTGCCCTTGTCTCTTTGAGAAAAACTCTGAAAGCAGAATCCCAACAAGTGAAGGAATGCCTCCCCTAGGGATTAGAAAGACCATGATTCCATAAGGAAGAGCTGAGACACAGGTGCATCATGAACCCTTAGTTTCATCCACGTGTCGATAAGTGCCAATTTCAAGCAGTATTGGTCACATGAAAGAAGCCTAAGACACATTTTACTTTTCCCAGATATCTGGCGCTGGCCCAGGGCCAGCACTGTTTTCCTACTATACACACCATAACCTTGTTTCTGTCTTTCGTGTAGGGGCCATCAAGTTTAATGATGGCCTGAGCTCGGAGGAGAGCTATCGCCTTATTGAAGCCCTGTCGTGGTGCCAGCTGCCATTCCAGTGTGCTCACGGGAGACCTTCTATGCTGCCGCTGGCTGACATAGACCACTTGGAGCAGGAAAAGCAGGTACAGTAATGACTAACAGGAGAAGAGGAGCAAGGTTTATCTTCTCTTTCTTCTCCCACTCCTATCAGCCAAATGTAACCTGTCTTAATCCTTTCCAAAATACCCGAGTTTTGAAAAGTATGCATTGAAAGTTTATTTATATAAAATCTCACCACTTCATCTTCTAGCTCAAATTCACCATGGAGCTCAGGCTGCACTGTCAGATTACACACGTGATGCCTTTGTATTTTTTAAGCTTAACACATGTACGGACTGATGTATCCTGGACATCTGTTGCCTACTAGCTCTAGGTTTGATAAGATGTAGAAGGTCTCTCTGGGGCTACAGAAAGTTGGTAGAAACACAGCAAATTTACTGCTAACAAATACAACCTGAACAGCCAGTTTCTTGATGGTGCTTTTGCTGGAAATGGTAGCCATTTCTAAGGATCTCTAGAGTTATGATTTGGGGATCATCCGGCAGGAAACCAAGCTTAGGAGATTTTCACATTATGGTTTGGCCTTGATTACTCAGCAGTCCAGGAACAATGATGTGGATAATGCAATAAAGACACAGAGTGGTTTAAATTAAAGACATTTTCTGTTCTTATTATAATCTTAAATGAAACAGAACACAAAAGCATAATAGGAATGTCCATGTTGCTGCTTTCCAAAATCTTTTCTTTTGCTTGCCTTTCCTTGTAAGGGCTATAAAGTCTTTCCTTGCATGGAGTTTTCTGATGCATCCAATAGGCTTTACTCCGTTAAAATCTTACTGTTTCATAGGACAATGAAAACAAACTTTTGCCCTCATTCCTGAAGAGATGGGAGTCTAGACTTAAAGTTGGCAGTCCCGCTTATCCTAAGGAAATCTCTAATTTTTTCTGAATCCAGAAATTAGAAATCCGAACAGATTGGAATAGCCGTAATTAGGAAATTTTTATTTGGTACTTGGCTTTTCAAGCTGCATATGGAAGTTATTCTCTTTCTTCCCACAGGTTAAACCCAATCTTGCTAAACTTCGCAAAATGGCCCAGGCCTGGCATCTCTTTGGAAAAGCGGAAAGATGTGAAACAGGGCAAAGCCAGAGGGCATCCATGCCTCCTTGTGAGCCACCGTGAGAACAGAATTATTGATCTGTAAGGAGCCAAAGGGATGCTAACTGCCTCTGAGCAGATAGCATGGGCTGCAGGTACCAGCAGAGTCTGAGGCCACCAGTGTCTCCAAGCAACGTGATCAATCAGTCTTGAGCAGATGATCCCTCCAAGCTAAAGACAGTTCATTCATCTGCAGTTGTGGACTCAGGAGGTTGCCCTATGATATCTACTTTTTATAACTTATTTAGAGATAAAATTTAATGACTAATTGATTCATTTGTGGGTTTGATTTTGTTTTGTTTTGGTGGCGGGAGGTGGGAGGAGGGGTTGCTTGGTTTTGGCTTTGCAATTTTTTCCAGCCTCATAGTTTGCATTGATGTAATTTACCTATGCTGAACTCCCTGGGATCCATTCTGCCTTCCTAGACAGCCCATAGCCCCGCTCCATTGGTCCCCTCCCACCCCTGTCTTCTTGATCTCTCACTGCTGCTGCTGTAATTTACATTCTAAATCTCAGACTTAAAGAGTTCTCTACACTCAATAAAAAATGTCCCCTGTAGTCTTCCATCAGGCCTATAGTTAGATTATTTTAGGGATTAAAAAAGTATTGATAAAAGAGAAACAAGGACAGGGGCACCTGGTGGCTCAGCCGGTTAAGCGTCCAACTTCGGCTCAGGTCATGAACTCTCAGTTCGTGAGTTCGAGCCCCGAGTCGGGCTCTGTGCTGACAGCTCAGATCCTGGAGCCTGCTTCGGATTCTGTGTCTCCCTCTCTCTCTGCCCCTCCCCTGCTCACACTCTGTCTCTGTGTTGCAAAAATAAATAAAACATTAAAAAAAGAGAGAGAGGGAGAGAAACAAGGACAAGGATAGAATAGAGACAATTAAACTCCTGTCCTGGTTGGTTGTCTTCTTTCCCCTGCAAGATCTCATTCAGCATCTGATATTGTTCATACTCCAACTGGGAAAATGGTGAAAGTACTAGGACTTGTAAAACTATGATTTTTTTTGGTACTTTAAAAGTGTCTCTTTATGTGAGAGCAAGTTTCATATCAAAATGCAGAATTTATTCTTTCAACCTAACCAGACCTGTTCTCTACAGTTTTTCAGGAGACAACAGTCCTTTTGATCCCTTTCAAATTATATCTTAGTTTTATTACAGTATGCCTATCTAATGGCCTCATAATTTCATTTGGGACCAGGACTGATCTTGTGGCAAATGCTTGTTATGCCATCCTTAATCTGTATTTCCTCTACCTTTTTAGAATGTTTGATTTCTGGTTAATAAGACTCAATAGACTAAAGGTTTATAGAAAGACAAAAAGAAAAGCAAAAAACCCCAGCTGGTAATGTTTGTTGCAACTGGGATCCCATACAATGAGAAAGACGTTGCAGTGAGAATTTCCACTTTTGTATTTTGCAGCCTGCTGAAACTGGCCTTTGTATCAATGGAATGATTTTTCTCATTTTTTAATACAGGAAACACATTTGTACTCATGGAAGAAAACTTTGTTTGCCAGCAGCCCTGCAGTGAATCTTACAGGAGCAATGAAGTATTGCATTCATTAGTGTGTGTCTCAGAGAAGGTTCAGGAAAAGCCTTCACTGGTTTTCAAGGGGATCCTTGTAGAATTACGTAATTGGAACTCTGAAGAATAGGCACCACTGTCTAAAAATGGCCTTTATTCTTCTTAATACATATAAGCGGTTTCATAGACTGGGAGACATGACCTTCAAAAGGAGGGTGTTTTCAGGGGATTTGCAAGGCTGTCAGGGTCTCTGCCTCCAGGCCCAGTGGGGTGTTGTGGCCTCTGGACCTCTGCCTCCACTCTCCAGAGCTATACAGAGGCCAGCTGTCCTGGGAGTTTAAAATATTTTTCAGGTTAGACCAATTTGTGGGATTAAAAAAAGTGTTATGATACTTCTTATATTAGGATGAGGTGCAGTTTCAAAATGTTTTGCTACAATCTCAGACCACCGTTTTTTTGAGAATAGCAGAGATTAGAAAAAGTTCTCCATAAATAATGTAATAATCTTCCTGGCTAGCCTGACTCAAGCAATGGAAGAGATAATTATCCTTTTTCATAATTTATAAACTCAGTTGCATGCATCAACATAAAACCAACCTATTAGCCAAAAATATCTAACATTACATTTGTTGCCTGTTTGGATTTTGTTTTATTCTGTTTGTTTTTAACTTTACTTGCCATAGAGTAAAAACAGACTTAATTTTCTAACACATGAGAGTAGTCATTAACACCTTTGTGGTGCTTTAAGGTTTACAACATGATTTTTGCATGTCTTACTTGAATTTTCTTGGCAACCCACCAGATAAGATGGTGTTATGCTCCCCAGTTTACAAAGGCTGAAATATATTAAGTGATTTGTCTAAGATCACACAGGTACTAAGTGGCAGACTAATGGTAAACAAGTTTTCTGGCTCCAGTCACGAGAATGAATGTTACCATTTACTAAGGGCCTACTATATATACCCAATGTTTTGTGTACATTATTACTAGCCTTCCGACAGTTCTGTTAGCAAGCTAATGTCTCTTTTTTTTTTTAAGTTTTACTTATTTATTTGAGAGAGAGCCAGCGACAGCGTCAGTAGGGGAGGGACAGAGAGAGAGGGAGAAAGAGAATCCCAAGCAGGCTGTGTCCAGTCAGCAGAGTGGGGCATGAACTCACGAACCAAACTGTGAGATCATGACCTGAGCCCAAACCAAGAGTCAAGACGCTTAACTGACTCAGCCACCCAGGCGCCCCGCCGATGTCTCTTTAACAGTGAGACTGCTGAGCCTCAGAGATGTTACCCCATTTGCTAAAAGAGCCAGAATTCAGACCCAGATCTGGGTGGCTTCACGTTGCACACCCCTTCCCATTGTTACCCTGTGCTTGCCATATATTTTTAATTTATTAGGGACTTACCAGTTTGTAAACTTAGTGGTTCAACTTTATTAGATTCTGGTTAGTGGAGACTTCACTAACTTCACTAACTTCAGAGTAAAAAAAAAAAAAGATACGATGTGCGATGAAGCCATTCTAGAGAGTGCCTTTTTGGGGAACGTTCATCACAATTATATTTGAAATAAGGGTGCATGTCTTTAAGAAGCTTAGCTTTAGTCAGGACAAGGAAACTGATGATGGAATGTGGTAACTTCCTCTAGTTTAGAGGTCACTGAGTTATAGCTATGTCGTTTTTACTGGGATACGAGGAGATGACAGTTCTGTCAGAAATAAAATCTATAGATGATAATAGGGGCTAGACGCAGAAAGCTTAAAGCAAAGCTTAGAGTGTAGGCTAGAAGGGAGGGAAGAGACGGGAGAGGGCTAGGGAAAGGTCCAGAACCTAGCTGGTGATCTGGAACCCCATGAGCAGCTGAGAATGGAGAGGTTCAAGCACTCAGACATCAGAGTGAGGCAAAGAAAAGGTCAGACACAAATGAACAGATGGGATCTGAACCTAACAGTGGAAAAAAACAAGGCAGTCAACACAGGGGCAGAGCAGGAGGGGGCCCAAGACCAAGTTCTAGAGATGTGTAGGGGCCTGAGGAGCCATGCCAAGCGAGAACAGATGCAGTGGTCAGCTCCTAGAGAGCTCGGACAACTGTGCTTGGATGAAGCTTTAAGTGGGAGCCAGTGGTAGCAAGTCCAAATGAAGGGAAGAGCAGTTTCTGGCACAAAGAGTCAGACTCGTTCTACCTGTTTTCCATCTGAAGTGCCACCCGGTTCCATCAGAACCTTTACGAAAGCAGGCTACCAAGGAGAACTGACTGCTGCGTTTGCTGTTACCTGTCCTGCCTTGTCACACTTTCTCAACTGAAGTTGCTTATCAGCACTGAGATAGCAACAAGGTGGACTCAGAAAAGAAGGACGTCTGGGAAACTAAAAATCTAGATAATCTCACCAAACAAACCCTTGCTTCTCTTTCTCCATTTATTCATCACTCAGTAACTCCATGTATGTGTCCCTTCTAAATGTATCAGAAGTTGCAGGCATATAAAGAAAAAAAGAGGCTATCCTATGGCTTAGGATCTTTCAGACCCTTGGGTCATTGTCATCCCGTGCCCATTTGTCAGAGAGCACCCTGTGCTTTGAAACATAAAGTTCAGGCAACCTGATCAAAATCTGGAGGATCCAAGCATCTTACGTACCTGAATCTATGGAGCTTACTGGAGCCCGTAAGCTAGCGTGCCCCAGGTAGCAATCTGAAGAAGCTAATTTGGCCTGACTTCACCCTCACAACTTGCCTGACTAAACAACTTGTTCTTATTTACCACAAAAGTAAGGCATATGCAGTGGTGGTTGCCACCCACCCCTACCCTGGCCCAAAAAAAAAAAAAAAAAAAAGATGGTTTGGAGTTGGAGTTAGCTACTGCTATATTAGTGTATCGTTATTATTCAAGGTATTTTATCACCTCTCTTTTATAGTAAACGGCAGAGTTTTGCATAGAAGTTACGAATTTTAGGAATCTTGTCAAGCTTTTAAGCAGCTTCCTTCTTCTCTAGGCAGGTCTTAATTCTAAATGTAACATGCCTGAAAAAACACTACTGAAAGTCTCCTCTTTAGCTTGGTATTTAATATAAACATCAAGCAATCACTGTTGCCAGTGTGGTTAGGCTCAAAGGCTGCCCTCCATTGCGTGAGTGTTGTGCAGAAGACTGAAAGCTTAGACTATAAGCTCTTTATTAATAATAATTGCTTAGCCATTGCACAATAACCTGGAACAGCTGTTGGGTGAATGAAAGAATAATTCAAAGCAAAGTAGGCCAGATAGAAAACACTTCCAAACCACATTTCAGAATAGGTCCTTTGTGTCAACTAGGTGCATGTCTGCAGAGGGAGTTTTTGCGAGGACAGGTGGATAGTATGGGGCCTTTACGATAATTACGTCACCATCTGGTACCATATAGCAAAAACAGTTCTGATGTCCTGAGTTCTACATATGTTATAGAATCACGTAGCCCGATGATGGAGCCACAGGACTGGCAGCCTTCGTTAACCCAGAGACTGAGCCAACAGATTGCCTTGAGAAATGGTTGTGAAGCACATCTGTGAAACGTATGATCCTACCCATACCCGCATTTATTTCTTTGAGGTATCACTTTACACTTAAGTTTTCCTTGGTGGAGTGTTTTTCAGAGACTTCTGAGGCTAAATTAGGAATTTCTGTTCCTGATTTGAGTTCCAAGAATTGTGCCTCTCCTGCCCTCCGCCTAAATTGGAAGATATAAACCGTGGGAAAAGTGTCTTTACAAACCGTATTGAGTAAGTTAT